ACAATAAAGGATTATCTTATCTAGCTTAAGTCAGTGGAGCTTGAGAATGTGCCTTTTCTGTTTTATATTGATTACAGCTTTTCATGAAAACTGTCTTTTTGGAATCTGAAGATTGTGAGTAGGCTCTCAGCACCATTTTCAACAAGACTATACAATACATCACGAATAATGTGTGACATGGTGACAAAAAGCAACCACAACACATAATTGTTTAACAGCCTCTGAACAAAATATGAACCGTTTGACAGGTTTTGTATTGTACTGTTCTCTAACCAGGCTGAGAACTTCTTGCACAGTGTTGTGATTCTTATAGTGTACAAGGGCACACCAGCTAAAAAAACATCTGTCTGTTAGTAGCTGCCCAAGACTGTGAAAAGGTTATTTAACCTATGTTATCATCCACTCTCCAAATAACTCAAACAAGAATCAATGCCTTGGAGTGCCTAAGGCACCATCTGCTAAATAAAGAGGCACTTTAGTCTGTGATGGTTCTCTGAAGAACCACTAAAAGCTTTTGAAAAGTTCTTTTTCAATGAGCTGAATATGATCAACTGAATAAATGAAAGTTAAAAGCTTGTCCAACACTGGAGGATGGTGATATTCATGACCTGAAGTCAGTGTTGTTAGCAACCCTCAGATTCAACAGGTAACTTCAAAACAATGTGTTGTCCATTGGGTTGCAGTAAGAAAACAGATGCAAATACATTGTGTAGTCACTGTGAGGTACCAGCTCGGAATATTTAACCTACTGTCTGGCAATCGCAGTATAAGGTGACAACATAGGACTGCCCATGTTTTAAACTGTGGTGAATAAGTGACTGGAGGAAATGACTGATAAGGCTCTGGCTGCTGTCCGGGCTGAAGTGGCTGCTGTTCACAGCACAGCAGCAGCAGAGGTGGGGCCTTTTTGTTCCCTCTCTGTCTCTCGACAAGAGGAAACAGAGCGGAACTTTGTTCCTGTCGATATGGCGCTGGTCCGGACTGCAGGAAGCTGATAACAGGCTTCATCAAAACCTGAATCGACAGTTTCAATCGCCGTGCCCTTCCTGTTTCGGCCGGTCACACAGACGACGGCTCGGGCAGAGGGAGGGAGAGAGAGAGAGGGAGAGACAGCGCTCGCCTCCGGCAGATGCCCTATTCATCCCACAGAGGATACTTTGTTACATCTAAATGGCCTTTTGGCTTGTACAGGCCCAGGATGTTAATGTGCCACTGAAGCTGATATCACCATCAAAGGAAGGCATTCTAGATCCAACTGAGCACTAAAGATAAACACGGTGTCCCTTCGATCTCAGTGACAATCTATCAAGGCCTACTGACTGTCATATTAACACCAACACACACCGGTTATGAGTTGGTGCGTTTTCAGTAACAAGCTACCATCTTTAATCTGAGGACGAAGCTTATTGATCAGAAGAGGTGGAAGCTAATAGGCCTTCAATCAGCCACATTGAGGAATGACTGGAAAACATCACATGTCTTTCAATAAACGAGGAAACGGTTCCGTCTAATCCTGCTCTATGAGCTGATCAAAGTTCTTTAGAGAAGGCCGAACACGGAGGGTGTTGCATCCTACCAGCCTACCTGTAAATATAGCCGCAGGCATTGTAATCTTACAATGAGCATTATGTCGTAATAACACCAACCGATGATCATCCGGGCAGTTTCTGAGAAAAACATTACTTTGTTTCCTTGGATAATGCTCACATCTGAACAGCTACAATGACACAACAGGAGAGTTACACCGGTATTTATACAGAATCGCTTTGTCGGTGTGAGCCTATGTAAAGGGGAATGCAGTCATCTTTTTTTGATTTTTTTTTTTTTTTTTACCTTTGAACAAGAAATCGTATTCATCGTCTCGGTTCCCCATTCTAGACGAGGCCGCTCCAACGCTTGACTCCGGAAAAGGATGTGTGAAAAGTACGGGTGTGAATTCTAGTTATATGCCGGAAAAATATGGTAAAGGTTTGTACTGAGGTTCTGCGCCAGTGTCAAGGCGAGCTGGCCGCAGAAAGGGAGAGCTCCCAACTCTGCAGAGGGAGGGGAGGAGTCCTTGTAGTTCACATAGCTTCCTCAAGGGGGCACTCTATACTGGCATGCCAGCAGATATCTACCATTCAGCTGTGGCCCTCCGTCAGACACTACAGTCATTTAACTCTGAACCAGAGGAATTAAACAGGGTCTTTAGGTCTATATTTATTTTTGAAGAAAATAAAAAGGTTACACTTTGTGTAATAGGCCTCTCTAGTGAATTAAATTCTATTATTGTTGAATTTTGGATGTGTCAGACTGATCTGATTTCATTCATGAATATGAAGCCATACAAAATATATTTTCTCACAGACTGGGTATGATAAAGAGAAAATCAAAACAAAAATACTCTATTGCATTTGTCATTTGATAGGCTACAGCTCTGTTTTTTACATGAACAGTAAACTGACAGTAGTGACAGTGTTTGATGTGAAATACTGCAGAAAGTCTGTGCTTTTGACCTTTTAACAGAGAGTAACTCTGGCCTACATCTCATACACCAGTGGCATTTAATGTAACATATTAGGACAGTTTTAAATTTGTTATTGTGCATTCAAATTAAATCCATATGGATATAAAATCCTAAATTAAAATTATTAGGGCCCACTGAGCTAGTGACAATTCAGTGTCACTACAGTAGGTGATGGTAGAGTAGATTAGTAGTTTTTTTTTTAATAATCTTTATTTATGGACCTGGAACATACAGGCCTATATATATGTTTACAATAACATATAGTGTAAACACCAACATAAAGCGGGCAGTTTACTGTTTGCTGCTTATCTGTGGACATATAAACAGTAATAACCACATTTTTATTTCACTAGCCACAGCAAGAGAAAATGTTTATTTTTTGAAAATTTACATCACGAATACTGAATGTAGCATAATCATACTAGATGCACAGATTGGTATGTTTATGGATAATTAAATTGTAATATTATTGAAACGTTTATTCATACTTTTTGGGTGGATTTTCCCTTTGAAGTCGTGCTGCCATCTAGCCCCACCCCCTGCCTCCCAACTTTGCTCCTATTGGTCGTGCGGAAGTTGAGCTGCAGTAAGGATGCACGTGCTGCTCCGCGCATTTCAAAGTAAAGATGGCAGCCTGCGTGTGTCGGTGCTACGAGGTTAGACTCATTCATTTCTTCATTACACTTCCTAAGTCTTCTATGTGGTGAAGAGAATACATACATACATACATTTGTAATTATCGTTTCATGTGTAGTAATGTAAAGGTGATTTTTTTTAGGGTGTTTTTGCATCTAGAACGCTGATGTCCCTTAGAAAAGACCTTGTTGCATCAGACTCAGGACAGAGGTTCTCAGTGTTATTGGTTAACTAGCTATCAATGTCAGAAATTAACATTTAGTTTAAGGCTTGAATGTCTTAGCATAAATCTGGTAACGTGATTAAAAATGGAGCCCCCCGTGTCTTACACATGTAGCCAGGTGCTGAAGCACTGTATCAGTGACTAGTTGTCATTAAACATAAGCTTAGCAGGTTTACAACAGTCGACCTCTTGTTTAAGGTAAGACTGGTGTTATAACACACTTTGTGACCTGACTAGGAACGTCTGCTGTCTTCTCACAGAAATCATACTTAATTGTATTTTTCATTCTGATGACAGACCGCCAGACACTTACCTGCAGTAGTTTGAACACCCCTGGGAAAATTACATTCAATCCATCATCTAAATCACTTATTCCTGAATAGGGTCACAGGGGCTGGTGCCAATCCCATCTGATAGTGGGCGAGAGGAGGGGTACCCCTGACACTTAGACACAGACAGCTTGGCATTTTCCTAGTCATATCCTGGCTCATTACTGTGCATTTATCTCTACCGCAGCTGGTCGGCAGACGAGCCTTGGCCCTCTGCTCCCGCTCTGTGGTCTCCTCAGCTTGGAGAGGAGATGCCTATGGGTTACCCAGGAGCCCAGCTGCAGCTGTGCAGGTTTACATTGACAGCTCCCATTCACCTTCACATGACACACCTACCCATTCCATGTTGCAGTATGTGGATAATCTGCTCAGTCTATCTCCAGTCTGTCTGTATAGCTAAAGTTCTGCTTTCTGTTTGTCTCATTAGGTGCGATATTCTTCAGGACGTAAAGGTTTTCTGGGTGAGTTTGTGGATAACCTACATCAGGAGTTCAGTAAAAATAAGAAGATGAAGGAGAACATAAAGAAGTTCAGAGAAGAAGCCAAGAGGCTTGAAGAGTCCGATGCCCTCCAGCAGGCTCGCAGAAAATATGTGAGAACATTATTTGGTTTGTAGTCTTGGTGATTTCAAGCATAACTCTGTGAGCCATACTTGAAATGTTTTGTAAAAATGTAATATATCTGCATCAGCCAGGATTTGCCTTACATACTGTACTTTTGCAACATGCACACATTATTATTTTTATATTCCATATGCATTGTTTTTTTATTTTCTGTATTAGAAATCTATAGAGGCGGAGACAGTGAAGACTTCAGAGGTGTTTAAAAAGACTCTGGGTTCCCTGTCAGAGACCATCAAGGAGGTAAGGTATCAGCACTCCTCTGGTTTAGCTAGAAAACAGTCATATTTTACACAGTGTGTGCAGATCAGCCTCACTACAACCATCATGTGTGAACATACAGCCATGTCACACTGGATTTCTTATATCTTTATCAAATCTAGTTGGGAAATTTTGCACATTTGTGGGGCGAAAAAAAGTCATATACCGTTTTGACATTGTGACCACAGGGTTTTGAGGAGGTGAGCCGTACTGACATCGGTAAGAAGCTCAAGGATGGAGTGGAGGAGGCAGCCAGGACAGCCATGCACTCTGTTCAGTCTGTCTCCAGAGGAGGAGAAAAACTGGGCAGGACCAGCGCCTTCAGGGCAATCTCACAGGTCAGAGGGGAAAACACTCAGGATTACAGCTGACAGATACTGCAGCACTGATGGTGGATTGTTTTATTACATCATCATCTCACCTTGTTGTCGCTGCTATCCATAAAAACCCCAACTGTAGCTGGGCTGATTATCATGGTCAAACAATCAACAACCAGCATACTAACAAAGATTTTTGTCATTTTGCAGGGTGTGGAAACTGTGAAGAAAGAGATAGATGTGGGTGGTGCCGGCCTGTACAGAGCTCCGTCTCAGCTGAGGAAAAGAAGTGATTTCTCGTCTAAAGGAGCAGACAGTGACTCCAGAGTGTTTGAGGCCAATGAGTGTGTAACTATTGGAACCACTACTGTCTTAAAGGAACATCCTGCAATAATATGTCTTCACTTGACAGTTTATTTTCTCAATTGCTAATCCATAACATCAGCTACTGTGCACGTCTATGATGATGTGATTGTCTTGTATTTTGTGGTGCAGAGAGGCCATGGGTGTCGTTCTCCACAAAGATTCAAAGTGGTACCAGCAGTGGAAGGACTTCAAGGACAATAACGCTGTCTTTAACAGTAAGAAAACCCTTCGGTTCATTGGTTTAACCGCTGTAGAATTGGTGTTCTATAACAGATCACTTACAACTCGTGCAGTTTTCTTTAACGGCAGCAGGTGGCACCAAATTCTTTGCATTAAAGTTAAAAATGAAGTACAGTTCAGGAAGCCTGTTTAGGTATGGGTTTTTCACCATTATTAATGAAAAACATTTTTCCTTTTTGTGTCCTGCAGGATTCTTTGAGATGAAGATGAAATATGATGAAAGTGACAATGCCCTAATCAGAGCCTCCAGAGCTCTAACAGACAGAGTCACTGACTTCCTAGGTAATGCTCAATTAAACATTTACTTGTCAGCTAGATGTTCAGAGAGCGCAAGCCTCCACCAATCGTAAAGTCAGAGGAATCACAATCAGTGTTCACTGTTAGCCACCGTGCTGGATGGGTTGTTGTCCTCCAGGTGTCTGTGCCAGTCACATGACTGAAAACAATGAATTGGCCCTATCTCACAATGGTGAAGAATCCTTTAAAAATTCCTGGATCTGGATGATGATATGGATCAGCACCAAACTCTAATCAATTGTTCTGTGGGCTGTACCCTACCCCTTCAGAAATTCAGTTCAATACTTTTTGTATTAAGCTGTGAACAAACAAATCAACAAATGTAATGTTTTCAGTTAATCATAGGGGAAAGTCTGTGTTTGACTGCACTGACTGTAGAAGTGACTAGGTATGTGTTACTGGAAGACTTGTTTATCAGTTCCCTGAAGAGAGTTATAACTTTGCCTTTTTTAGATCTAGATTGTTTCATTAGAAACCGTGTATGAAATTAGTTTTGATTTTTAGTTTTAGCGAAAATGTAACATAAAAAAATTACAACCATAACTATTTACATATGTCCCAAATATAACCTGCAATTTAAGGAAACTGATTTTGTCCAGCTTGCTTTTATCGTGTTGTTTACAGTGGAGTAGGTCGTGTTAGGCACTTGCATCATCTCTGCTTGGACTCTGTTGCTGTCTTCTAAGTGTTCTTTGTGTTGCAGGTGGTTTTTTCTCCAAGACAGAGATGTCGGAGGTGCTGACTGAGATCCTGAAGGCAGACCCCACCTTTGACAAAGACTCTTTTCTCAAACAATGTGAGAAAGACATCATTCCTAACATACTGGAGGTAAATGCACT